ATACATTAAATATATGCAATTGTCTATATATTATTTTTTTACAATTAATTACATTCCCCTACTTACAGTAACGTATCTAGCTACAGTATCCATCTACTTGAATGGCATGACGCGTATAGCACAATATTATCACAACGTTTTCCAACTATTTAATCGAGACCACTTTATAATATTATATATGGATCGATTTGGTATGAAATGCTGTACAATTTTTGTCCTTACAAAAACTAACAAATTTTGCAAAAGTAATGAGTAGGAAGGGGGGGTTAAAAAATTTGATGTTTTTGAAAAAATTTAATATATTGTTTCAAAGAGCATTAAATACTGTACAACTTTTGTAGGAGACATTTTTTCATATTTTAAGACATTTTTACCTTATATTTTAAGAAATATTCAATAAAAATGGAAAAGTCATTTTTTTTCAAAGGGGCTGTTTCAACCCCTAAATCAAAATAAACTCTAAACTCAATATATGGCCTATAAAAAAAAAAAAATACGTGTCGACTACTTTTTGATGCTCTACAACATATCCAAAGCGCATCAAAATCGGAGGGGGACAGTTCCGCAACTTCCCTTGTAAGTGAGGAGACCAGCGGACTTACGCCTCCATGGAAATGATGGTTATTAAAATCATTTACTGTGAATTGATAAGGTTTACCTGTAATAACGAAATAGCCGTTTTTTTTATGCGATTTGCACATCTACCCAGTATGCATTCTATAAATGGATTGATGCTGAGATTCATGTAGCTTGCAAAACAACCGTCTCTCTTATACTCTTGTAAAGATTTATAATGGAGATTGATAATCTATATTAGTCTGTATTAGCAGTTACATAAACATAGCGAGTTGTCGTATCAATTACACATAGGACTTCGTACTCTTTAAATTGTCGAAACCAAACACAACATCCATGATGCGACCGTACTTGCCAGGGAATTTTAAAGAAACGATTGTGGCACCCCAAGCGATGACGATAATCTCTACATGATTTTTGTTGATCATCGTGTAAGATTTTACTGATATCATTTGAGGTTCCTTTGAAGTTTTCTTAACGTCAATATTTGTGGATAATTCTTCATTATATTCTTTACCATTATAGCTGTGTACTTTATTCAGCGGAAATTCTGCAAACACAGAAGTCTTTTATGCCGTTATCACCAACATTATCATCGAGAAAATAGGATTCTCTCATCACCGTCATAGATTTCTCCAAATACTCCTTCCGTAATCACATCACCCTTGCAGTCGCAATCGTAAGTAACCATTTTATGACTACGTTTGCGTTTTTTATGACTACTTATTGTCAAGCCATGTGTAATATATGACGTGATGGAAACAAGGAATTTTGGTAGTACGGTTCTGCGTTTATATATCAAACTGACAAACGTGACGTCAGTTTGATAAACATAACGTGAAATAATAGGTTATAGAACATTATCTCGACTTTTCTTTTAATATCTTTTGTTGCTTCATAACATCAAAAAATTACATTTTTATTTTTCTGAATATTGTTTCGAGCAATAAAACTGAGTGTGCTGAATTATATTAATTTTGAATGTACTAGAAAATTTAAGAATTACATTTTATAGGAATAGGACAAGAGCAATAAATGACCATTTAAATTTCTTTAACTGTTATTTAAAGTTATTTATTAATAATAATAATAATAAAAATAATAAGATAATAATTATAAAAATAAGAATAAAAGTAAAAATAATAATAATAATAATAATAATAACAAATATGGTACCCTTATAGAAATATCATACTAAGAATCATTGATAATTACTTATTTTCAGTATTAAAAATACTGGATAATAAATAATTGTCCATGATTCTTAGTATGATATTTCTATAAGGGTGGTAACACTAAAACGTTATAGTAACACAACACAACGTCTAAAATCGGGAATAAGACGTCTGAAAAGCATCTTAAAGACGTCTCTTAAACATCGGAATGTAAAATGCCCTTATAGAAATATCATACTAAGAATCATTGATTAATTACTTATTTTCAGTATTAAAAGTACAGTATTTAGTAATATTCTGTGATTCAAATACAGCTTTTAGTACTCAAGTATTTCAATATTGTTACAAATCCTACCTTATGATTGATTTCAATACTTAAATATTGATATGTAATACTTTGTCCAGTGATACGCAGAATACTTACGCAGAACATTGTCAATATTTAAATACTAATATATAATACTTTGCTAAGTGATGAAATACTTACGCAAAGTACTGTTAAGATTAAAAGTATTAACCCAGACAGCATACAATATTAGTAAGTATTATTTTTATTAATATTAGTAAGTATTATTTTTATTAATATTAGTAAGTTATTAGATAAATATTTATAAATATTTATTTTGAATTA